GCTTTTCTGTCCTCTCAATAAATCCTACTTTCTTACTTAAAAAAAAAAAAAAGTAGAGGCGGGCTTTGTGGCTCAGCCTGTAATCCCACGCCTTTGGGAGGCTGAGGTGAGTGGATTGCCTGAGCCCGCGGGTTTGAGACCCGCCTGGGCAGCGAGACCTCATCTCTACAATAAAAATCAAAAAATCAGCCGGGTGTGGTAGCGCATGCCTGTAGTTCCGGCTACTTGGAAGGCTGAGGCGGAAGGATCGCTGGAGCCCAGCAGGCGAGGCTGCGGTGGCCGGGAGTGGCCACTGCACTCCAGTCTGGGCGACCGAGTGAGACTCCAACTCAAAAAAAAAAAAAAAAAAAAGTAAAATAAGATAAAGGAAGGAAGGAAGAGCATGTACCAGAAACAATAAATGTATGAGTAAATAGAAAAGACTATTTTTTTCTCAATGATGTTAAAAGTCTACCAACTTTTCAAAGCAAAAATAGATAAATAAAAGTTTTATGTGGAATATAAAATATGTAAAATAAAACATATAACTATAGCACACAAGATGGGGTAAATTAATTATACTGTTGTAAGGTTTATACTTGTGTGATGTAGCATAACATTAATTTAAAGTAGTTGTGATAAGGATGCTTATAATAATCTCTAGAGTACTCTCTTAAAAATAATACAAAGGGTTGAAAAGTCAATAGATAAAATAAAGTTGAATACCAAAAGAATTGATTATTCCATAGAAAGGAGAGGAGTAGAAATGAAGGAAGAAAAAACAAATGAGACCATTATGCTACACTGCTAGGAGAGAGGGGGGTATATAACATGAAAAAGCATACCTGATCCCAAACTAGGTGAAGTGAGGACCAATGGGAGGCCCAAACGTCACCTGTATGATGACCACCTATATACCTATCCCTGAATTGTGCCCCACATCTTAAAAAATAAAAGGCAAAAAGAAAACAGAACAAGATGGTAGAACTAACCCCAGACATATCAATATTTACATTAAATATAAATGACAAAATGTTCCAATTAAAAGTCAAAGATTAAGAGTCTAATTTTTTTTTTTTAGTTGGAGTCTCACTCTGTCACCCAGGCTGGAGGGCAGTGGCATGCTCCCAGCCACCACAGCCTCGACCTGCTGGGCTCCGGCTACCCTTCCGCCTCAGCCTTCCAAGTAGCCGGAACTACAGGCGCGCGCTAACATACCCGGCTAATTTTTTATTTATTGTAGAAATGAGGTCTTGCCAAGTTGCCCGGGTGGGTCTCGAATCCACGGGCTCAGGCAATTCTCTCACCTCGGCCTCCCAAAGTGCTGGGATTACAGGCTGAGCCACCGAGCCCGGCCTAAAATTTTTTAAAAGCTTCAGATCTTATCTTGTTTACAAAATGCACACTCTAAAATGACAGAAATAAGTTTAAAGTAAAACAATGGAAAAATACTTGCTATGAAAATGCAAACCAGCAGAGAGTATTAATCAGCCTGACTTACTTGAGATTTAAAGAACACTAAAAAGAACAGTTGCAGAATATATATTATTTTCCTTGTACTTGAAACATTCACCAAGATGGAGGATGTTCTGGGCCAAAAAATCAATAAAGTCAAAACAATTGAAACCATATAAAACATGCTCTCAGACCACACTGAAATTAAACTATAAATAAAATAACAAAACCCCTAAAATATCCTCAATAGCAACATTCTTCTAAATAATCCATAAGTTTAAGAAGTCACCAAGAAAAAATAGAAAATATTCCTAACCAAGTGATAATAAACACACACAAAATTAGTGCTGGGGGGAGGACATATAGCTTTACATACTTTTATACAAAGAATAAAGAATAAACGTTTTAAATCAATAGTCTAAGCAACCAACTTGAGAAGCTGGAAAAAGAAAAGAATGAAACACAAATAAAAGAGAAGGAAATAATAAAAATAAGATTAAGATGGAAATCAATAAAATGGGCAAACTGTAGAGAAAAAGCAATGAAAACAACAGTCAGTTATTTTATTTATTTGTGCAGAATTTTTTAAAAAATTAAATATGTGGGGTAAAATTCAGGGTTAGGTATACAGATGCTCATTATGCAGGTACCCTTTTTGATGACAGTTTCCCACTACTGCCAATCCCTTTCTTATAGAATTATGATAGTTGTTCGAGGACTGCTTATGAGTGAGAACATATGATACTCAGTTCTTTTTTTCTGTGATAGATCGCTCAGTATCATAGCCTCTAAGTCCATCCAAGTTGCTGCTAAGTTCATAATTTTGTCCCTCTTTATGGCTGTGTAATATTCCATCATGTATCTGTACCACATTTTTTTATCCAGTCTTATTTTGATGGGCAGCATGGCTGGTTCCATATTTTTCCTACTGAAAATAATGCTGCAATAAACGTGTGTGTGGGTATTTTTTTCCTTTTTCCTCTTTTTTTTTTTTTTTTTTTTTGAGTTGGAGTCTCACTCTCTCACTCAGGCCGCTCCCGGCCACTGCAGTCTCCACCTGCTGGGCTCAGGTGATCCTGCCGCCTCAGCCTTCCAAGTAGCTGGAACAACAGGCGCGTGCTATCACACCCGGCTAATTTTTGATTTATTGTAGAGGTGAGGTCTCGCCAAGTTGCCCAGGCAGGTCTCGAACCCGTGGGCTCAAGCAATCCACTCACCTCGGCCTCCCAAAGCGCTGGGATTACAGGCTGAGCCACCGAGCCTGGCCAGGTATTTTTTTCATAGAGTGATTTGAGTTCCTCCGGGTATATTCCCAGTAGGGGAATTGCTGGGACGTATGGCAGGTCGATTTTTAGATCTTTTAGGAAGTGCCACACTGTTTTCCACAGAGGCTATACTAGTTTACACTCCCACCAACAGTGTAGAAGTGTTCCCTTCTTGCTGCATCCTCTCTAGCATCTGTTGTTTTTTGAGCTATTGATGATGGCCATCCCAGTCAGTTATTTTAAAAGATCAATAAAATTGACAAATCTCTTGCCATACTGACCAACAAAAAAGAAGAAAAATACAAATTGTTACAATCAGGAATGAAAAAAATAAAATCACTTCAAACTATGCGGTTATTAAAAGGATAATAAAATACTATGAGTAGCTTTATAATAAAAATATTATAAACAAATTTCTTGAAAAATTCAAGCTTCCAAACCAGACATGAAAAGAAATAGGAGCTGGGCTCGGTGGCTCAGCCTGTGATCCCGTGCTTTGGAAGGCTGAGGTGAGTGGATCGCCTGAGCCCGCGGGTTCAACTTGGGCAACTTGGTGAGACCTCATCTCTACAATAAATCAAAAATTAGCCGGGTGTGGTAGTGTGCCTGTGATTCCGGCTACTTGGAAGGCTGAGGCGGAAAGATCGCCGGAGCCCGGCAGGTCGAGGCTGTGGTGGCCGGGAGTGGCCACTGCCCTCCAGTCTGGGTGACAGAGTGAGACTCCAACTCAAAAAAAAAAAAAAATTGAAGTGAAAAATTAGCCAGGCATGGTGGTGCACCTGTAGTCCCAGCGACTCAGGAGACTGAGGGCAGGAGGACGGCAGTGAGCTATGATCACGTCACTGCATTCCTGCCTGGGCAAGAGCCAAACACTGTCGAGGACGAAGAAGAAGGAGAAGGTTATAATGAAATGCTCAGAGTTGGAGAAAATATTCACAAACCATCATCTGATAAAAGCACTGTATCCAAAAGTATCAGAGAATGATGTCAATTAGGAACTCATTGTAGATATTTTTAGATATTGTGTTAGTTTCTAATTACTGCGGAAACAAATCGCCTGAAATTTAGTGACTTGAAAAAACGCAAATGTATCTTACAGTTCTGGAAATCAGAAGTCTAAAATCAAGGTGTCAGCAAGACTGTGTTCCTTCTGGAGCCTTCAGGGGACAAAACCATTGTTTTGCTCTTTTCAGCTTCTAGAAGATGTCTACATTCCTTGGTGTGTAAACCCTTTCTTGCCCCACTTCAGCCTCTTACTTCCGATGTCACATCTCTCGCTACTGACTCTCACCCCTCTGCTTCCCTCTTAAAAAGACCCTTGGCATTACGTAGGACCCACCTGGGTAATACAGGTTAATTGGTCCATCCAAAGTCAATCACCTACTAGGTTATTCACAACTACAAAGTTCCTGTTGCCATGTTAAAAAAACAAAAAACAAAACCAGATTCTCAAATGCCAGGGATTAAGACAAGGACATCTTTGAGTGCCATTTTTCAGCCTACCACAGATTTCATGATGGTATTATGGTTATGTGGGAAATTGTCATTAATTCTAAGAGATGCATATTAAATTATTTAGGAGTGAAATGTCATGATTCTGTAAATTACTTTTTAAATACTTCAGTAAGAAAAAGGAGCAGCTATACACAATCTTAATAATTAAATCTGAGTGATAGGTATCTAAGTGTTCATTTGTTCCTCTCTTTTTAATATTTGAAATTGTTCTTAGTAAAATTTTACGCTCAATGTTTAAAAGTACTGAGATACAGTCTGGAGTTTAGAAAACCCACAAGAGTGAAAGTGGCAGATCAGTTAGTTATTACAATAGCTCAATTTAAGAGTCCAGTGCTTTGCACCAGGGCGATAACAGTGGATGCAAAGAAAAGCGGATGGATGTGGGATGTATTTTGCAAGTCAGACCTGTATGATTGCTGAAGGCTTTGAGGTGGGTGAGGGTAAAGTGAACAACAAGAATAAAATAAACTATATGCATGGAGTGCCTACGGTCCCGTCGCTGCTTGTATTTAATTCTCACAACAAAACTATGAGGTAGGTACAATTTGCACCCATATCTTACGTGCGATCCGTTTCTCCAACTTCAGGACTAGGAGTAGCGGCGGCAGTCCTTGGGACCTGGCTTAGGTCAAAAGGATCTGGGCCATGAATTCCAAGAGGCGCGGGTGCGGGGAGGCGGCAGGTAAGAAGTTGAGTAGGCGTAGGTCGGCAGGGACAGGGACCGCTCGCGATTGGCTGAGCTGCCGAGGAGGGTTCTGCAGATCCCGCGTCGCTACTGCCGGGCTCAGCCCGCGGGCGCTACTTTCGCTGAGACTTGGGTCGGGGAGTGAGCGATACGAGCTTGGGAGGATGCAGCGTCCATTGTGGCCTGGGGGATCCAGGGTGCTCCGTCTGTTTGTCTGCTTCCTGCTACTGCACAGTCGCCCAGGGGACTGCAGCGACATTAGTGCCCACGGTCAGGAGAAAACGGGGGGCGGGGGGTGGGGAGAGGACGACCACAGAGCAATCCGGAGAGAAGTGGATCGGGACCCTCAAGGCTAGGACAGTCAGTAAGAAAATAATGGGGTTGGGGGAATGAGAAGAGATCGGTGCAGACAGCGTCTCGCAGAAAGAGGCGTAAGCTTGTGATGGGGCTGGCATGTGGGGTCTGGCCCTAAGAGACGCAGGCTCAGGGGAAAACTGAGGATTTGGGAGGAAGTCAGGAAGGCAAACGGGCAAAGAGAGGTAAAACCGGCCTATGCGGCCACAGGAGAAGCAAGATGCGCCGAACGGCCAGAAAAGCAATGCCCAGGGTTGCTTGCGGGTATCCGGGTCCCGGTTCCAGGGCTCAGGCTGGCCCATGAGAAGAGCCAGGGCTTCGTCACAAGCCTGGTGGCTGTGATCTGCTTTCCAATAAGAAAGGGGAGGCTAGGCTGGGGTAAAACAGGATGGAGAGAGACTGAGGCCATGCTTCTTCCTCCCCTCTCGCCGGCGCCAGCCCAGGTAGACCCAGCGCTGACTCAAGTCTGAACATACGGAAACGGACTGCGCAGACTCGAGGCTTCCTGCGCAGAGCGCGCGGGGAGAGCAAACCCTTGGTCTGTCGCTCACCTCCCTGCCCCGCTGATGCAGCGGATTCGCGAAGAACTGGGGGAGGACGCCTGGTGGCGATGGGTTGGGGGGGCGGTAGAGGCCATGGTAGCAAGCGGGAGGACTGCCAAGCCCTGTAGAGATGCCTCGCCCTCGTCTCCGCCCAGCGCCGCCTCCACGCCAAGCTTCAGGCTCCTCTCAGCACCGCGGACAGCGCCAGCCATGCTGTGGGTCCAGGCCGTCTGTCCAGGTCACCGCTGTTTCCCACCAGTCCTGAGAGCGCTGCCTCAGAGAACAAGCTCCCCTTTCCGAAGCCCTCTTCCTTCTTGGCAGGGTGCTGGAGGTTCTACTTCTTCCTAAAACCTGAAGATTGTTACTAGGCATCCATTTGTCTGGATAGGAAAATTCCCTTTTCTTAAGACCTGTCCAGAATGACTTCATGGTAATTCCACTGTAGAAAACAAAACAAAACAAAACAAACAAACAAACAAACAAATAAAAACTGTCCTCTAGTCCTATCCCATCTGTCTGGAAGAAGGAAGGTGTGTGTAGAATTAGGAATTATGTTTCCTCACCCTTGTCCTTCACCTATGCATAGCTGGGCAAATTGGCTTTTAGGAAAAGGGCCCAGACCCTTAAACCCTACATATACCAATACTTTCTAAGAGTTTCAGGCCTACTCACTCACCCCTCAAGCTTCAAAGACTTCCCTAAGATGCAGCTTACCTGCTTTCCCAGACCACACCTATCCACCTGAGCATCCGTCCCGTGTGGGTAGCTCTCTTTGAACCTCCACAGGTTGCTCTGCCTGTAAGCTTGGCTCCTGTCAGGAGCTTGGCTCCTGTACCATGGGTGAATGAGGTCCAGGGGCTGAAAAACATGGCAGGTGGTGATGGGGGAAGGGAAAAATGAAGACGGAGGACCTGAAGAGAGTCCTGGTGGGGGAAGCAGAAACCAGGGGATTCGAGAGTGACCATGTAAGGAAGTGCTTCTCTTCAACTGGGATTTGGAAGGCTTCTGGTCAGGTTGCCTGCTGACACCACTATTTTGCCCTTAGATGGTCAAGGCCAAGTCGGAGTGGGGCAACTCTGGCCCTTCCAAGGATTTACCATCCCAGTCTTCCGGCATTTGCAAGTTATACTCCAACAGATAGTACCCCAAGGTAAGTAAAAGCCAGAGAACAGAGGTTGGGGCCTGGTCAGATATGAGGGTGGGCGGGCAATGAGGGGCTATCTGACCTGAGGACAGGCTTTCTCTTCCCCAATGTCTCCACTTGAAACTTTCTGATTATACTCACTTCATGGAGATGGGATGAAACAGGAGTGGGAGTGAAGTCTGGATGGATGGGCTATTTGCCCTTGAGTACCCTGGAAGACTCCCAGAAGAGGCTTCTGAATGAAACCCTGGAAGAAGCCAGCATCCAATTGCTTGGGAATAGTCTAGTCTCAGTCTCTGGTACTGTATGAGTTTTTTCCAGAGCCAACAAGACTCCTCTGAGCCAGGAGAACACACACATACCTCAGTCATTGATTAGGAAGCAGAGGAAATTGTATGACAAACAGAGGGTCTGACCCCCATTTTTAAAAAGCAGAGTTTCATGAATTGGTGGGTCAGATAAGAAATCTGCCTTGAGTTCGTATTACTGCTACTATTGCCCGATTTGTGTAAATGCCTTAGAGCAGTAGTTATCAAAGTATGTCCATAGACCAGTAGCATCAGCATCACCAGGGAACTTGTTAGAAGTGCTCATTCTTAAGCTTTAACCCAGACCTACCACATCAGGAGCCATAGGGGTGGGGAACAGAAATCTATGTTTTAGCAAGCCATGCAGGTGATTCTGGTGCATACACTAAAGCTTGACCATCACGGTCTTAGAGTTTTCTAAGCACTCTTTCCTCCCCTAACCTAATTTAAGCCTCACAGTAGCATCAAATGAATCAGCAAAGAGACTATGATCATAATCCTAATTGAATATTACATGCCAGACACTGTGCTAAGCAACTTGTATACACCATCTCATTTAATTCTTTCTGCAAAATGTGATCTTGTATGTACTTGCGGGGGATGTTACTCTGGTCTCTAGAGTGAGTCAGAGTGTCCCAGGTGTTGACTCACCTCATCCTTTTATCCTGCAGGTCTGTTCTGGAAGGATGACATCTCTCAGGATGTGATGACTAAGAAGATGGAGTGCACCAGGAGGCTGCAACCCCAAGATCCATGCCTCAAGGATGGGAAGACAGTCTTTCCCACTAAAACCACTGGGGTGAGGTGTGTGAGGCCTGTGGTCAGTCCGTTCTTTCTGGTGAACCGATGGAACAGGGAGGGAATGGGTACTTGCAGATAGGAGCTTCCAGGAGCACTAGGAAGGAGAATGATTCAGAGGTCCTGTCTGGGATCATCAGGGAACAATTCTACAATACATCAGTGATATCGGCAAAGGAGGAAATGCAGGTGATAGCAAACCTAGGTCCTGTTTGTCAACCCTGTCTCTTCTAGGGGCAAGCAAAAGGAGAAACTTCGACTCTTATTCCCCAAGGTGAGACTCATGTGTCTTCTTAGGATCTGTGAGTCCTTGACTTTGTATCCCAAAGCTTTCCTTCTGGAGCCCTCTCACTTTTCTCTGCCTCCCTCTTGACTCCTGGCTTCCCTCCTCACAGAGCCCAGTGACCAAGGTGAACAGAGATCAGTGCTCTACCTCCAAAGTGGGTTCGAAGACCCTGAAAGGAGAGGTAGCCAACCCTGAGAAGGTGAGGAGCTCAATGGTTGGAGTCGCCAGTGGCCTGTTTAAATGAGAGAGAGAGAGTGAGAGAAATGAGAAAGGCGGATAGAAGAAGAGAATAGGTGTTGGGGTGAGAACACATAAGCTGAAGAAAAGGTCTTTTCTTTTCCAAAGAGTCCCTCCATTTTCCTGTATCTCTCACAGACTACCTGTGGGTATCATATGAAAGGTGGGAGTAGGCAGGGCATGAAGCAGGGTACTGGGAGCCACTAAGGAATAAATAGTCTATAAAATCATGTCTAGACATTGAGGTTAAAATAAGCATTGAGCTAGGTATGGTGGCTCACACCTATAATACCAGCACTCCTGCCAAGGCAGGAGAATTGCTTGAGGTTAGGAGTTTGAGACGAGACTGGGCAACATAATGAGACTCCCATCTCTATAAAAATTTTTTTTGAAAAATTAGCTGAGTGCAGTAGTGTGCACCTGTAATTCCAGCTACTCAGTAGACTGAAGCAGGAGTCCATGAGTTCAAGATTGCAGTGAGCTATGATTGCAATGCTGCACTCCAGCCTGGGCAACAAAACAACAGCCTGTCTCAAAAGTAAAATAAAGTAAGGCTGGGCACAGTGGCTTACACCATAATCCCAACACATTGGGAGGCAAAGGCAAGAGGATCACTTGAACCAAGGGGTTCAAGACCAACCTGGGTAACTTGGAGAGGCCTTGTCTTTACAATATATATATAAATTAGCTAGGCATGGTGGTGCAAACCTGTAGTTCCAGCCATTTGGAAGGCTGAGCCCAGCAGGTTGAGGCTGCAGTGACTGTGAGCGTGCCACTGCACTCCAACCTGGGTGACAGAGTGAGACTAAAAGGCAAAACAAAACAAAAAACCCCCCACAAAACCAAAAATAAAAATAAAGTAAAATAAGCATTGAAAGCTGCAATGTTTTAAAAATTATATTAAAGGGCCAGGCATGATGGTGCATGCCTGTAATCCCAGCACTTTGAGGGGGCTGAGGCAAGAGGATTGTTTGAATCCAGGAGTTTGAGACCAGTCTGGGCAACATATTGAGACCTAGTCTCTATGGAAAAAAAGTCAAAAAATTAGCCAACTATTTGGGAGACTGAGGTGGGGAGATCACCTGAGCTCAAGAATTTGAGCATGTGGTGAGCCATGATCATGCCACTGCACTCCAGCCTGGGTGACAGAGTAAGACCTTGACTCAAAACAAAACAAAAACTAGATAAAATGTCCTCCTTTTGCCATATTCTTGTGGATAGCAAGTGATCACAGCACTCCCTTGGATAAATGGGAGATGCAGCCCAGAGGTCCTCACATTCAGCCTTCCCCTTGCTCTACTCTGTGACCTGGGCAAGTCACCTGGACAAGGGTCTGAAGCATCTCCTTGGGACCTCTGAACTCTTCAGAATCCAGTTTGGAAACCACCCTTCTAGTTCTCCCATTTGTCTTTATAGATGTGAAATTGGGACCCAAGTTGGTCATAGGACTTACTCAAGACTGCATAATGGGTTCATAGCAGAGCCAAAATTGGACTTGGGTCTCCTGATTTCTAGCTCTTTCCCCTGCACAGAACTGGCCCTGCCTCTCAGGGGTTGCAGTGGCCCTGGGCTGTTTCAAACATCAGACTCCTCCACATTGAAAAAAGACTTTTTTTAGCCATGCTCAGTGGCTCAGCCTGTAATCCCGCGCTTTGGGAGGCTGAGGTGAGTGAATTGCCTGAGCTCGTGGGTTCGAGACCCGCCTGGGCAACTTGGCAAGACCTCATCTCTACAATAAATCAAAAAAAGTAGCCGGGCATGGTAGCGCGTGCCTGTAGTTCCAGCTACTTGGAAGGCTGAGGCAGAAGGATCGCTGGAGCCTAGGAGGTTGAGGCTGCGGTGGCCGGGAGTGGTCACTGCACTCCAGTCTGGGCGACAGAGTGAGACTCCAACTCCAAAAAAAAAAAAGAAGAAGACTTTTTTTTTTAAACTAAGATATTCATTATAAGAAAGTGCCTGCCAGTGGAACATACAAAGAAAGAGCATCTAGGCAGATGGCATTGCCACCACAAATGCCCTGAGACAAGAATACCATGGCTTGTTAAGTAACAATCAGAAAAGTCAGTGGCAGAGAATGAGCTTGGAGAAATAGGCCCAGGACTGACCATACAGGGGCTCCCAGATCATGGCAAAGGGATTCAATTTTATTATAAATGTAGTAGGAAGTTAACTGAGGTATTTTAAGGAAGGGAATGCCGCAATGTGATGCATGATCTCACACTAGTGATGTTAGGGAATGAATGTGAGAAAAGCAAGAGTAAAAACTGAGAGGTCTGTACGGTGCTGATCATCCTGGTCCAGGGAGACTGAAGTGGCTTGGACTTGGGAGTGAAGTCCAAGAGGTGGCTTCACTTGGCAGTGAAGCTGGGCACCCCCAGCTGGCTGCACTCTCCATCTTGAGGCATCCTGCACCCCAGGGGGTTCCAGCTCCTCATGCTCTCCCAGGAAACGGGTTCCCATCCCCATAATGTGGCAGCTGGGCTTCCTGAGCCTGGGCTGGTTGCTGGGGCAATGTTATCAGAGCTAAGTGACAGAGACCCACCTGTGGGGGACAGGTTGCCCTGGTGTTTCTGGGAATGCAGATAAGGAGCTGCCATTCTTCTCCAGTCATGAGCCTAAAGAAACACCATGGAGGGAGCCAAGGGGTCAGGATCTCAGCTGGTGGGCTGTCACTGTGCTACAGGCTTACTCAAATCAGGTTGTTATAACAGCATTTGAGGAAGAAAGGCAAGGGAGGGATGGGGCACCTCCCCACATCCTAACTCCAAATCCCTTGTTTTGTCTCGTTTTAGGGCTTCTTTGGGCCATTCCCCACTGTGGGCCGCAACCTTGTTGCTGACTGAGACCTCACACGAAGCCTCCCTGCCCCACCACCCACCCCATGGCCCTTCAGAGGACCAGTTCTTGGATGACCCAAATCTGAATCATTAAAAGTAGACTCTCATGCAAAAACTGACTGTGAGCTTGCCTTATGGCAGGATGGGTGGGGTTTGAACTTGGCCAGAACCCACTAAAGGGAGAGAGTTGAGACCAGAACAGGGGCTGGGAACAAAGAGAGTATATAGCTCTCAGTGCTGATGGAAGGCAGCTTTGTGTCCTGTTTTCCTTCCACTGACCATTCCTGAAGTGGGAAAGGTGAGGCAGGGACCACAGCTAGAATGGCGGCCCTCTCCACCCAGACCCTAGCCACACTGTGTGGTGTAGTGGCCTCTCCTTTCATATTATGGGAAGTAGACTCCATATTCACCTCCAATCATTCCTCTCACTTCCCGTGGCAGGCAAATCTGGACCTTGATGTTTTATGAAACAGTCTCCACCTTTAGTACTATAACCCCTGCCAGGCTCTTCCAATCCATCCTGCCTGAAAGAACAACAGGTCAGTGCTGAGATCAAAGTGTGTATACATTTGACATTTTGATGACTCTTGCCAGCTTGATCCTAGTAACTTATAACCTTAAAAGGGAGGCCAGGCTTGGTGACTCAGCCTGTAATCCCAGCACTTTGGGAGACTGAGGTGAGTAGATTGTCTGAGGCTGCGGGTTCAAGACCAGCCCAGGCAACTTGACGAGACCTTGCCAAAAATTAGCAAGGTGTAGTAGCGCGCTTCTGTGGTTCTGGCTACTTGGAGGGCTGAGGTGGAAGGATCACCTGAGCCCAGCAAGTCGATGCTGGGGTGACCATGAGTGTGCCACTGCACTCCAGCCAGGGCGATGGAGTAAGACTCCAACTCAAAAAATCTTTTTTAAAAGGGAGCAGATCATCTGACAACCCATGCTCTGCCCAACCAAACACCAGAATGTCCTATTTGTGGAAACTTATACATGTCAAAGCACTTTCACACTCATTGGATACTCCCAGGTGTAAGCAAATGGATAAGTATCCAGATTGGGTTTCTCTAAGGAATTAGAACTTGTCCACATCATGTTTTTTTAGCAGACTTTAATCAATGAAAACAAGCATCTGGAGGCAGATACAAGGATTATCTAGGTAACTTAACTGTTAAGTTAAAGATCCTGGTGGTACCTCCAAAAATGTTAGGTTGAAAATATATCCCAGCAAAGCCTCCAAAATGTTTATTTAGAAAGTAAATTAGAGAGAGAGAAGAGATTCACCTCCCCAAGGGAGGAGACCAAAGCTTAGGAAAACATGGCCTGGCCATAGCTCAAAGAACACATGACCAGACATAGCTTCGCAGGGCAATGGCTAGAAAGTAAATTAGACAGACAGAGAGAGAGAGAGAGAGAGAGAGAGAGAGAGAGAGAGAGGA